AGGGAACCACAGTCAGCAGACAAAGAGTGGGGGGGGGGGGGGGGGGACGACATTTAGCGCTTTTGCACAACATATACCTGTGCAAATGATGTTCACAGCCCATTACTGCCACTAGATTCAGCCAAAGAGCACAGACTTAAAGAAATTATATCTTGGAACATCCTGGCATTAGGATTATACAGATTTATAACAATTACAAGTGTGCAGCAAGATTGAAGAGAGACTGCATAATTATTGATGATATTAGACAAAAGACAAAACAAAGTGGTGGTCATAAACTACAAAGATCACAGTCTCTTAAAGGAGAACTATGGGGTTAAGGTGTTTCCCCATAGTTCTCCTTAGGGTAACGGGAGGACACAAACTAGCGTCCTCCTGTCACCCTAGGCTCAGTATAACGCGAGCTGTAGCTCGCGGTATACCGAGACACCACAGTATACCGCTAGCTGCTGCTCGCGGTAAACTGAGACGCAGCAGCTGAAGCGGATCCCGACAATTGTGCCGGGATCCGCCCAGGTGCGTGACTGACAGCTGGTTCTGCCTATCTAGAGGCAAAGCCAGCTGTACCCGCCCCCTCCCCTGTCCGTTCCGCCAGTCAGCGCTGGCGGATCGGAGCGGGGAGGGGGGAATCCAGCCCTTCCCCTGTCACGGTAGAGAGCCGTGACAGGATCGAGAGGTGAGCGAACGCCGGTATGTGTTCACTCACCTCCCGATCTACTGAGCCGACCTGTGACAGTCTCATTGTCACAGGTCGGCTAGAACTATGAGGTGAGTGAAAAGCACTCACCTCATAGTTCTCCTTTAATGGAGTGGGATACACACACAGTAACCACATCTGGGGTGGGAATAATACAAGAGAAATGCCAGGTTTTTCAGTAAGCTTTTCATTTGCAATTATACTTTTAGGGAAATCTCTGTGGTTCTGTTTACACCCATCTATTTCTGTCCCCTGATACGTTTTCTACTAAAACCAATGGAAACCCATGAACACACAGTTTTAACTTCTGCAATGAATTTGGTATTAAATGTCAAAGTGCAACATAATGCACATATACGCATGTGTTTTGATGAGTCTCATTTTTTATTTAAATTTCATTGACTCCAGCTTTGCCATGATGTCCGATGTTAACAGCTGGGGTTGCTGCGGAAACATTTTTTTTCTATTTATACACACCACACATAAAGGTGGCCAAAATGTTTATTCATAGGTGGAGCATAGCAGTCCAAGGAAAAGAAAGTCAGCAACAATACATGAAAATCCAACACTGATAACTTTATTGATCTGGACAAATGGCCCAAAAATTCCCATCTAGGACCTTCTCCACTGGCACGTTTCACATACAAGACTGGGCTTAATTGTAAAAGGTAAGGAGGTGGAATAAATGTACCTGGTAAATTATTCAAATGGTTAATCAATAATTGTGATTATTAATAATGAAAAAAGAGGGGGAGGGAGAAAAAGAAAGGGTAAGAAGGGTGGAGAAAAAAGAAAGGGAAGGAGAAGGGGGAAGAGAGGGGTGAAGGGGGATAAAATGGGGAACAGGAAAAGAGTAAGGAGGAAGCAAAAAAAGAAATAAAAAGAGGGGAAAGGAAGTAGAAGAGCAAGGAAGAGGAAACCGGAATGGGGGGGTGGGGGGGGGCGTAAATTAAGACAATAAATCTTTTCTTGGTAATGGGTGAAAAAATCTAATTCTAAGCGTGAAGATCCAATTTACTTCCCATCTACTAAGTAAATAGCACCTTTCCTCCTCTCATTGGATTACCTATCCTTTCAGTAATCTACTCTTTTCATAGACTCAATCTTTGAATTGTGCTTATCAATTAAAATGTCTAATGTTGGTGTTATTAGTTCTAATATTAGAAAGATGGCCATCAAAATGGTCACAGAACTGCCTGGCCATCCTATCTACACACTGTAAGTGACAAATGTCACAAAAGATGACCAAGATTACATATCTTGTGTGAAAAATAATTGTTTAATGGTATAAGAATAACCTGTACTGTACAAATTAATAGTGTG